ACAAGAAGAGATAGGTTTTAATGTATATGTACTTGGAAATTTCACTCAAGTACGCTCTCTGACCTTGCATTCTTAAAAGACAACAGGCACAATTTTCCAGTCAGCATTATCTGGCAAGCGCTCGGCATTGCTGAATATCCACGTACGCTCGTATTTGTTGTGTTTGTGTATGTTTAAGTAAACGAGTGACTTTATGACTTTCTCTTTTCTTTCTCAAAAAATTGTCAGTTGAAGATAGCAGATTGTCAGTGTGTGCTTGGCTAGTACGCTGGGTCCTGGGAGGCCACGTGTTGTAATGCAGGTCTGTGCTTGTCAAGCACTGTTTGGTCTGACGTTGGAGACTGTGCAGTGCTATAGGTCTGACTGTACAGCTGCTTGTGCGATAATTGTGAAGGAAGGGTGAAGAACCTCTTATGTAAAACTTTTTGAAGATGATTTTTTTTCTTTAAATACAAGGCTTGGGGTTTTTGTTTGTTTGTTTCATTCATTTCATGCAGGCAGCTGTCTGCAGAGAACACATTTTTAGTCTTTTTCAATTTGCAAGAGGATTATTTCTTTTGAAAGTAAGTCAGTTTTTCTAAATTACCCCAACTATTTCATCTTTTCGTGGCAAAGCTGTGGTTACTTAACTACTCATGAATTTGGAAAGTGTATTTACGCTTTGCCTCATGAATCGTAAGTGCTCCTGCATCCCTGAGCCAAGCACTGCAGTCTACTGATACAAGCTGCTGCCTTCAAGCCACCCACACGTGGAGCTCTGATAGATTCTCGACGTTTTTCAGAAATGTTTTTAAATAGAGCAATCTACGTATGTGCTTACTGCATGAATATGAATAAAAATGGGTTGCAAAAAGATGTGCAAACTCAATCGGCAGTTTTCAAGCCAAGGAGAGCTTCAGAATCAATCGCAGGCATGCTCAGTAGTGTGTTGAGGGGCCCAACACTTTTCCTCAAAAAAACTACTGCTGTGGCCAGACACGAGGGAGTTCTAGCCTGCTGGCTTCTCTCGTTGCCTCCGTTCTTTCTCCTCGTTGCAGAGGTCACGTTGTTTCTTTTCTTCCTGCTGTGTTTCCCCCTCTTGCTTGCATGCTGTCCGGACTAAGCTGTTCTCAGTGATTAGCCTTGGGGTTGGAGAAAGGCCCTGTGTGTTTTCTGTTATGGAAGGATTTGCGGTGGCTGATCCCATAAGGATTTATACCTGGAATTAAGTTAGCTACAATATGTGCAGCTCTGAAGGATAAAGGCCTAATCTGGTAAAAGCTCAGATGGAAAGTTGATGTTAAATATTATCTAAATAGCTCTCAGAAATGTAGTATTTTGGAAATCGCTGAATTCAGCAATGGATGGTACATTAAAAATAATTTAAAAAATGTATTTGTTGCACAGACTTTTTAAATGAGTTACATGGCTGAAAATATGGCTATCTATCTTAGTGTATTTATGAGCTCCTATGCTTACTGGTGAGTCCTGCAGGTTATTACCAGCAGGTTTCTGCAACTCATTCTGCTGCGACTGTCTCAATGGAAAGGAGAAAAATCTGCTGCTCCTTGGAGACTTCCATGAAAGGCTGTTTCTAGTCTGACTTGGAAAATCAGAAACTTTGAGACTGACAACTCAGGCTTCACCTATAACATATTAGAAATGAACAGTAGTCTTTAAAAAGAGAAATCTAGTTACCTGTCAGTTAATCTAATGTGAACCAAATGAAACTTGTGATAGAAAGGATAAGATAAAATGAATTCTTTTTGGTGATCTTAAGCAGTTAGAGTATGTGAGAATTCAAGTTGGGATTTTTGGTCAGAACAGGATTTTTCCCAATATGTTTTGACAGAGGCTTGAGCTATGAGAAACTACTGAGTGAAGATACTCACTGCCAGAATGATGAATCTATTTCCAGTAAGCTAGTTGCTTCATCTTGTTGGATATACTCTGGGGAATTGTTCACGTAATTTCCTTAATTTAAACCATTTGTGTACATATTTTGTAACTGATGAATTACTGACACTAAATAAATGTTCATGCAAAATCAACTGTAGAGCAAAAATATTGGGTAAAAAATTTCATATCTGTAGTTAGCTGTCTTGCATGGACTGTGTCTTTTCACATGGACTGGAGCGTTGTCTAAAAAAAGCTGTTTACATTATTACAACATTAAATATATACTATCTAAGATAAGAGTGCATTTACATTGCAACTGTGTGTCAAATACTTTTATCAACACAGTGAGTAATACCAGATCACTAGTCCTTGAAATAACATGTCATTAAATTTGTGAAGATGAAACAACTTTTCTTCCGTCAAATTCTGTTCTACATTTAGATGAAATGCCCTGCTTAAGTAATGCCTTTGAAGACTGGGTGTTACTTCCTTTAGTTCTGATTGTAGCTGGCAGGAACTATATGTTCTTTGTGCATTACCAAAACAACACATCTGTCTGCGACGTACTCTGTGTTTTCCCCATAAGTGTATGTAGTTGTGTATATTTTGCTGTGTTGTTTGCATTTGATTAACTGAGTCTTGCTGCGTTTGCATGTGTATGTGGATTTTTCCGACTACTGAATATATGTGATTGATGCAGTGAACTGTTGGCTTCTATTCTGTGAATATTAATCAAAGAACATGCTTCTCTGCTTAATGGCTTTGCAGTGTGGGAGGCAGCCAAACAGCATAGACTATAGTCTGCTTTTTTACTCTTTAATCATTATTGTGTAAGACACTGGCAAGAAAACTTTTTTCATCTATAAACACTATTTCATGCTTAAACATATCCATTGTTCGGTCAAAGTTATGAAATATTGTTGCTCAATTAAATTTTGTTTTCAACATTTCCTGGTAAAAGCAGTAATAGGAGAGAGAAAGCAATAAAGGAAAGGGAGATAACTGTGTAGAAAAAAAAATACTAAGCCTAGCAAGCAAGAAATAGAAGACGTAAAATCAGTAGATGCACTCTCTTAGTCTTAAGATATGAGCAAACAGCTTTCTTTGATCAAAATCTAAATCTGATGCTTCTCTAGGTTTCATTACTATGGTGAAAGGCATAATTTATGAAAAAGCTGCTCTTGAGATCAGAATAGACATCTGCTATGTTCTGATGTATACTCAAAATGCAAACAAGGATAGATGCTGATTAGGATATGACAGCTTCTTTGGATGAGAAATGGAAAGATATTCAGTATTAAAAAAAAAAAGAAAAAAGATAAAGCCAATAAATGTTTCTGTTTGCTGATGGTGATGCAGTTCAGTATACTGTGCTTGAATACACACCCCCCTTGTTTTTTTCTATCATATAGCTGTGGTTTAGAGGTTTATAGCTTGAGCTTAATTCGTTCTTGGTCTGTGAATCCTACCAGTGAGGCAGCCTGACAGACTTAGAGGAAGGTGTAGGCTTCAGGTTTGGTAGTATTTTTTAAAGGTTTATGTTTGGGAAGGTTTTTTAAGCTAGAATATGGACTTGGAGACCTATCAAACAAAGCTGCTTCTTGTTTTGATCACATGTCCTTGTACCATCAGGGCAATTTTGCTGAAATTCTCACATAGTGAGAGGACAGCTGAGAACCTCATGGTTTGTACTTACTAATGCTACTACAAATGCTCCTGTCCTACAAATTTTATTTAAAGTCTTATGAGTGTAAATACTTTTTGGAGTTCTTCTAGAAAATATATCTCATCTTTTGATTTTGTGAAAATAGCCACCCCCAAATTTGCATCCTTATATGATGTTCAGAGACAGATCTGTTTTTTGGAAGAGGAATATGGTAGTACTGAGGCTTGTATTTCATCGTAAATAATAATTGAAAGCTGAATCATAGAATCATAAAACCTTTTATTTGTTCCCAGTCAGTTTATTTTTTCTGAGATGTATTTACATATTTTAAGAATATATCAGTGGAAGAGCTGAATGGCTTCAACAAAACATTAGTTTAGTCTGCCATTTTAGGGTGGAAATTAATCTATTTTTTATTAACTGAACACATGTTTACCTAGTCCTCTGGAATATCTTCTATATATATTCCTGTGACATATATGCATATATTAATAATTAATATATTAATATGTCCTTCCACAGGTAGCTCTATTTGAAAAAAAAATCCATTTTTAGACTGTCTAAGTACAATGAGTATTTATTTCAGATCCTGTCAAAGAGGTAGACCTGCTGTAGTTTCAAACTCTTGATTATCTTCTGGATAAAGGCCATTTCCACTAATTTGGTTCATAGCAGTACCTGCTTTTGAGACTTGAGTCTACCTTTTCAGTTTTAGTAATGATTATTCTTTCCCTCTCATTGTTTGATAGTCTGTAAAGTTAGTTATTTGTCAGTATAACTAATCAATATTATTTATCTAACTAATGTATTACAGATCTCCTCAAAATGATGATATGTCAAAGAATTTTTTAATACAGTAGGAATATATAAATATGGTAGCCACATTTCCCTGTGGATCCAAACTGGCCATCATCCTTTCCTGATTTTTGTAATCAGACTTCACATTTCTACGATAAGTTAAAAGTAGTAAAGACATCACTGATTTTTGATTCTTTCGGGGATAAATACTTTTTTTGTCCTTGACAGAGGCAAATTTTAGCTTTGGCTACTGCTTTCTATTTCTTAGAATATAGACTATGTATAGAGAAAGTATGTGTAGAGAGAATATGTTTCTTAGAGTGTAATTCTTTAAAAGTGTTTATATACTGGTGATTAATATCTCGAAAATACACCCCTTTTTAAAATGAAGAGTTTTTGGATATAATCACTTTATGGCAAGTAGTTTTCCTTTGGCATTAGGCTGCTTTGAGTATGGTAGCCTGTCTGTAATCAAAATTATTCCTTCTTAATATTGACTCTTTTAAAATTATTTATATATCTTTCTGAGACACAGAAAATTTGATTTTGTTTTACATAAAGTTTCAGAACTGAAGAAGCCATTTAAGAACATATATTGTAGAACGTATATATACATCCTTACATTTCCCTTTTTTTTTTTTTACATGAAATTATTCAGGGGGCACGCAGCGATTGCCTCGCACAATTGGTGTATCTTTGGCAAAGGAGCTAATCTTCTCTGCGCGCATTGTAGACGGCGAGGAAGCAAAATCCATAGGGCTGGTCAGCCATGTGGTAGAACAGAACGATGCCGGGGATGCTGCCTACAGGAGAGCCTTAGTTCTAGCGAGAGAATTTTTACCTCAGGTATGACAAATAATTTTGCTTTGAGCTTTAAGTTGTTACCAAACATCAAGACTGAGAAATAGCCAACTATAAAAGGAAAAAACTCACAAAGCTGCATTTTGCTAAGTTGCACATGGGGTGAGAGCTATGAGAAGTGCTCTTGCACGTGTATACGGTGCTGCTATTTGGTAAGTATTTCATGGTGAAGCATACAAACTGTATCACTCCTTGTATTGTTGCAATATAGTCTATGTTTGCATTGCATATTATAGGTTACAAGTTTTGGGTATTAAAATGAGTCTTTTTTATTATTATTTTTTAATGAAGCAATTTTCTCAACAGGTTACTCTGTTGCAGCTGACTGCTTTAGAAGAGAGGCAAGTCCCTATGAAGGTGGACATATCTCAGTGTAACCACAGAATCACAGAATGCTTAAGGTTGGAAGGGACCTCGAGAGGTCCTCTAGTCCAACCCCCCTGCACACGCAGGGTCACCCAGAGCCCGTGGCACAGGACTGCGTCCAAGCGGGTTTGGAAGATCTCCAGAGAAGGAGACTCCACAACCTCTCTGGGCAGCCTGTTCCAGGGCTCTGTCACCCTCACTGGCAAGAAATTTTTCCTTAAGTTCATGCGGAACTTCTGGTGTTTCAGTTTGTGGCCGTTTCCTCTAGTTCTGTCAGTGGCCACCACTGAAAAGAGGCCAGCACCATCCTCCTCACTCCCTCCCTTGAGGTACTTACAGACACTGATTAGATCCCTTCTCAGCCTTCTCTTCTCCAGGCTGAACAGGCCCAGCTCCCTCAGCCTCTCCTCATAGGGCAGTGACTGTGATTTTGAGAATGTAAAGACAAATGTAATTTCAGAATTAAAGCAAAACCCATTTAGTACTGGAGGGCCTTCTCTTTGCTTTTTTGCCTGTGTGTACAAACCTGATGAAAGTGTACTTTTGCTTCCTGAATGACATGTTATCTCCAGCTTTCACTATGAGTTGAAATGGCACGTTTTTCAGACAGGCACATGCCAGTGTTCAGCATTTAGCAACTACCTTCTCCTTCTTGCTTGCCTCATTGTGAGATGTTGTAGTTGGCTCCCTTTAGGGAGGGCAATTGGTGCCTGGCCCTTCACAGTGCTGAGCTGGACCCCAGCAGCAGCAACAGAGCTGGCCCTTCTTTCTGCACCCTCAGTGGGGCTGGGTGCACATGTATCTTTCCATTCCAGTATTTTTCCATATTTCCTTCTCTGACCTGTAATATAACACAGGTTTGTGATCATCTTCCCAGGTAACATGTAAGTAAAGGGGATTTGCTGAAGTCTCATGCTTGAGAACTTAATTTTAATAAGAAATTTAACTACAATCCTTGTGGGAATCCTTGTAATAACCATCTGCTACAAGTTGCTTTACTGCCATGCAGTGCAAACTTTTTTCTTCAGGATAGGAACGTGAGTTTTGAACTATTGATAAACTTAATTTTCAGCTGAAGATTCCCATGTGGGAAATCCATAGTAGGTAGTACTAAAGAAAATAATTAGGAAACCGCTTTATTTGAATCACAAGTGTAACAACAAAATCTTTCCATTCTGAGTGGGTAATGTTACAGGTGAAACACAGCATTTAACATTGATTATTTGTGTTTTGAAAACTCTTCCAGAAAGATGAACATGAAAAATAAAACACAATTTTTTACACTGTGTTCTGGGATGTTGATTTAGAGTTACAGCTTCACATTGAAAGCAGTTCCAAAACGCATGGAAAGCTCTGAAGCATGGGCAACTCACCCAAGTACAGTGCCATATCACCACTAAAGAGTCTGCATTTGCCTTTCTCCAAAGCAACAGGCCACGTCCTCAAAGCAATGTGTGTATGTTCAGAAGCTGATGCCCACAACAGGTATATGACTAAACGACTGACTTGTGCGGCAGATGGAGAAGCTGGAGCTGTCTCTGCGCTCTTCTTCTCTTCTGCAAGCAACTGAGTTGATCATAACTTCTCCAATGCAGACTTTGCAGCTGCTTACTTTAGGTTTTAAGCTGTTCTTTTCATTTTCCCATCGTTTCATTTCTCTTCATTCTATGGTAATTAGGACATTTCAGGATTGATTGTATGAAGCCCTACAATATCCTTTAGGCCTTGTTCTGAAAGGTATTGAGCAATTGTGACATAAGTGAAGTGGAAGTGAATCGTTGAAAAATAAACCCAGCACACAGCTGTGGCTTAGCTCTTTCAAAAACTGTGTGTTTCTTTCACCTTTTCTCAATGTCGTAAACATCCCTTTGGAGGAAAATACCTACCATAGGCAGATAATTTGACCTACGTGCTACCTATTTAATAAAAGTACAAAGGCCCCAATAGGCCCCAATATAACAACACTGATGTGCAGACTCTTCACAGCATGATCTGGTAAAATCTGATGACATGCAAACCAGCTTTTTGTTTTATTTCAGGGACCTCTAGCCATGAGAGCTGCAAAACTGGCTATCAATCAGGGAATGGAGGTAAGGATCTATACTTCTCATAGTAGCTTGTAGAAGTTAGGGTGGCAACAGGCTTGCTGTAGTGATATTTCTTCCTGCACCAGCTTTCAGTTTCTCCATGTGTAGTCTTTCAAAATCTATCTAACTGGCCAAAAAGTATCTTTCAAGATAAATGTGTTTTTTTATGTCTGTGTTTATTGATTTCAGATTCCTGAGAGTAGAGCTGATGCTGTTTGGACATTTCCATAACAAGGCATAGTCACCCCACAGCTGTCAGGGAGTGTTAATTATTAATATAGAAAGTAAATGTGAACCACTATAAATAAGTTTTACTTCAAATGCTGTGAAGAAAAAAAATCCACAAAGTGATACTCAGCAGTCTGTCAAGACTATGACTGTTGTTTAAGTAACAACTGTTTAAAGATAAAAAGGTGTTTTATTGCTTTTAAATAACTTAATACAGGCTAGTGTTAAAATTATACTGGGAATCTAATTTCAGATGAGTTGCGACTCCTTGAACATTACTGACCTAGCTGTATAGCTCATTAAAACCCAGCCCTGAACACATCTGGACATGTGTTTTACTTTAGTCTTGTGAATCATCTTGCTGAGATCAGCAGGACTATTTCTATTTAAAGTTAAGCACATGCGTAAGTTCTTGCACTGGGACAGTGTATAGTTCAGTCTGGAACAAGGGAAAGGGGATCGTTTCACATGCAAAAGCTGAACCCAGCAAGTGCCATTTAAGGTTTAAGGCTCATAAGCAACATTGATATAACTGAGTTCAGGAGAGCACACGACCATTGACTTTTGCCCTGAGGACCAAACTCAGATGCTGTTGTGAGAAGAATTTGTTCATTAAGTTCAAACAGCAAGTAATGATGGAATTCAAGATCTGTTTCAGTGGTACCCAGGATTCAAAAGGCTGCAAGCTGAATTGTCTAACTACCAGACATAATGAACCAGAGCTGCAGGCTTTAGGACTAGGGAAGATGGGGTTGAAAGAACTCTGAATGTTTATCTGGTTTAATGCTGAGTCCCCAAGACAAGATGTCCTGTATCAAAACCAGTCAGGCCAAATGCTTGCTCAGCCCATTTGTGACTGCTTCTCCCGCCTTGGCCAACGGCTTGTAGGCTGCACCACGATAGCTGCAGTCTCTGCAGTGCCCATTTGGAAAGCTGCTTTGTCCTGCAGCTGCTGGGGTGCCTAGGAAAGGCAGACAAGCACTGAGGAGAAAGTTCAACTTCTTACACCAACACTTGAAAAAAATATATCAGATCTGTGTGATTGTACGGAATTACCAATGGCCTCATTTTTTTTATATGTGTGTATGTATAAACTTGAATTTATGTTTATTTTTTTGCATCACATTAAGTTATAAAGATGCTTATTTCAGAACCAATTTTTAAATTATTATTCAATAAACTTAGTCTTCATAACTGAAATGATTGCAAACATGCAGCTAGCTAATGGTTTTTAGTATGGATGAAGTGAAAAATGTGCATTCCTTTGATAATGTTGCAGAATAAGGAAACTGTTAAAATCACTAACCACTCTCACTGCATGCTAGTGAAGTATTTCTGGGTTAAAGCAGTGTAGAAGGAATTTGTAAAAGTGTTTCAGTATTTGGCAAATAACAGTACAGTATTTAAGCTTGCTATCAGGAAATGGAGTGTATACTAAGTGTACAAAAATGCGCTCTTAGAAGTATTTTATTCCTTTTCCTCAGGTGGACTTAGTAACCGGTTTAGCAATTGAAGAAGCTTGTTACGCTCAGGTATGTAACCCAGAAACCACCACAAAACAGGGTTTGTTGGAGCCTGTTGTGAAATATATGCATAAATACAACTTGAAAAAATATGACTTGAAATTGCATTCTGATTTCTTCTTCAAATATTTTGGTGTTGTATTCAGTCATTGCTTCTATTTGCTCTCTTTTTTTAAAAAAAAAAAAGAAATGTAAAGAAGGAGGTATAGTTTACGTTAAGAACATCTTCTTTTCAAGGAAGATCCAGGAAAAAGGAATGAAGCATTGTCATCCCTGTATCTAGGCAGCCATGTATTGTCATGCATCTAGCCCAAGAACTGCTTTACCGTTTCTTTGTGTTGGTTTAGTGTGAAATGGTGTGAAGCATGCTTCGCTAATATATGCCACTAATGGCATGTGTGCTAACCATGGGAAAATCAAGACAAACCTCTTTGCCAACAAAATGTGCAGATAAAATGTCTGCAGTTTTTATGTTCATGGACATGCAGACAGATTTTTGATCTTGGCAAAAGAATCATTAGCACTGGAGACAGTCAAGTAAAGCATATGGTAATCTGATTAATAACCTAAAAAAATCCCACATAAACAAAGTGACAAGCCTTAGGGTTGTTCTCATTGTTCTCTGCTCAGAGGAAAGTTGCCCCTTCTTCTCCCAAACTGTTTTTCAGTGTTGTGCTAACTAAGAATCTGGCACTTCCAGATAGCTAAATATATATTGAAATTTTCATTTCTGTATGTTTGATTTGTAGGAAATATATATGTATGTATTTGTAGGAAAACATTTTTATGATATTATTTTTGCCGTTAATAACAAAACATTACTCTGCTCTTTGCAGACTATTCCAACAAAAGATAGAATTGAAGGTCTTCTTGCATTTAAGGAGAAAAGACCTCCTCGCTACAAGGGAGAATAGAAGAAGCAAATGCCTTTAAAATGCATGGGGATAAACGTCCTCCTAGGAGGACTGCTAAGGTGCACTTTGCATCAGTACCTGGAATATCACAGCCACCAAAGTAAAAGCAAATCATACTGGAGTTGCAGCATTTTGAATGTGCCCAGATACTGGACCCCGATAGCTGTATGTGCATCAGTTCATGGTCACTGCGGTTTCTAAAGGTTGCTGTGTATATTGGCAAGGTCACAGGCTCATGCAGCATTTTAAAAATTTCATATGTATGAAATTTACCATTCCACAAGCAAAAGAGCTCCGTAAATTCTTTATATAGACAAAGCCTGTATGTGATGTTAAGTGTAAGTCTACTCTATCATTTTATCAAAATAAAAGTGACTTCTATACACCAAAAAAGGAATTGTACCAAATATGCATTACAAATGATTCTGTATATCAGTAAAAAATATATTTGAATATTCCAGCTGAATATGTACCTTATTAATAAAGCTAAGGGAAATGAAAAGGATTATTGTTTGGAAAATGTTAAGCTTTATTTATCTATCTTAGGCTATTATAAGTAAAATGAAATTAGCTTTAAGAATAGCACATAATGATGTCCTTTTGATGAAGTCGTTGCCATTATGTTCATTTAATTGTATTACATAAAGACATTTTTGAGGCTGGCCTTTAATTATATATTCTTGTAAGTTAAAATCAGTTTTGTCTTACATTCTTGCAAAATATGATCTGCTGTCTGCTATGAAGGAGTTTTATTTCACTTGCCCCTGTTATTTTAAATTTTTGATATGTTTCAAGGTTTCTCAGTGCAGGGATGTGACTAATACACTGTTAAAGCAAGAATTATCTTCAGCCCTAAAGTAGTGGTTTCGCAGGTTCTAATAATGTATGTTTCTGTACAAGAGGGCTAAAACTGATGGTTCTTTTTATTTGATGGAGGCCTCTGTGTTGTTTTCCTACTTGGAGTGAGAGATCCAGTAGATTATGAAGTGAGAAGACTATTATGATACATAATGTGTATTTACTGTAGTTGTGGTTTATACAGCAAATACTAGGAAATGGCCTCTTAGAAAGTGTTTTTTTTAAACTGACTGGAAAAAAAACATGGTTTGGTGGTCGGAGACTATCTTTTTTATATGAAAACAAATTCCTTTGTATGTGCCCGCTATTGTCTAATGAAACTCATGCACGCTGTGCTGTTTCTGCAACATTAACTATGGTCACTGTCCATATCTGTGGTGATAAAGCAGCTGATCAACGTGAAATGACAAGAACTCATTTAAATTCATATTTAGATGTATCTTTACATGTAAATTGATCAGAACTGGTAGAGCACACACTTTGTTGACTGGTAAACTTGCTGAGTCGATCATTTCATGCATGATAATTTGCAAATAAAGTACCAACGCTTGTTTTGATAGTCATATAAAGCCTAGAGGGTCATTTTCTCCTGTTTTTGAAATGCTAACATGTCATTTTCATTTTTAGTGAGTAGGAAATAATTATGTTAATGGCAAAAAAAATATTAAGTGTGTGCTGACTGGTTTATGTTTCATAACTTTGATATACAGTTTGACTATTGAGCTGCCTCTGGTTTTCTAACAAGAGCTGATTAACTTCTGAGAATGTCTATTTAAAAAATCAAATGGCATTAAACGCTATGGCATGAAATTGTGCTGTTCAACATCCTGTGTAAATATGTACTTTTAACTAGTTTTGATCTCAGAAGATAGTCTTGCTGTCATAGTGCTTCTTTCCATTCCTTTTTCTTAGGAGAATACACTGTCACGTTGTGTGGCAATTTGAGTCCCTTCTTTGAAGTCAACTTTGAAGTCTGAATGTTATCACAAAGTGCACATCAATCGGACAATCTTTAAAGGTACTTATTAATGATATTGGAACAATAGTAAAGGAACAATAATATAGAAAAAGATGATATCTAGCAATTATTGTCTTTGTTACTGAGTAAATAACGTTATGATGACTGCAGTGCTCATGAGCAATAGCAGTATTAGAATTCTGCTTCCAAAGCAGGGAGATTTGTGAAAGAAATGCTTTTGGAGAGCCTAACTTCTCCTTATAAAAATTATCCTCCTTTAAGTGTTAAGGCTCTGCAGGTCCAGTTCTTTATAAAAAGTCATGCCTTTTTCCAGAGGACTTCATGAGCAAGTGTCCCCTGATCCCAGCTGGTTCCCTGGAAGAGGTTTTCAGGATTCCCAGGCATAGCAGCATTTCCTCCTGCTTCCACCAAGCTCAGGTGAATCGTGGGTTCCTCTGCCCTTCACTACTGAGCTGAGTGCTGGGGAGATGGTCTTTCCTTGAGCTGATCCACTCCCAGTGGTCTAAGTGCAAGTGCAACTTATTATTGCCTCGAAATTGTGTGTTTTGTGCAGAAATACTGTATGAATGCAGGATGACCCATATTTTAGCTTTTGGTTTATGAATATGTTAATATTTTCTCAGTCATTGAAGTTAGTTCTCACTAAATTTACTAAGTTTCTGGATAAAATTTTCAGAACTGTCTGAATGACTTAAGTCAATTTGTTGCTTTTGAGCATTTCACCTGCTCCTAAGAAATTTCTTGTTTTATTTATTTTGAGCTTGTGTAATGGAAGTTATCTCTTGAGGATGTTGTACCATATTTTTTTGTTTTTGTTTTATATTTGCAGAGCCATTTGCCGAATTGTTGAAATTTATGTGAGTTTACAGAAAATTGCTTATAGTTGTAATTCAGGGTTCGTATATGTGAACTTTGAACTCTTCCAGAGCCGCTCTTAACTCGCATGTGTCGTGTAGCTGTTTTACCAGTTGTTCCCTCTGTTTCATCTAACCATAAGCAAGTTTGTTGAATGCACCAAAAATAAGTGGTTTCTCAAACACATGAGAGGACAGAATATCATGCTAATGTAGACTAGGTTTGAGAGACTGTGGGAGTAAAGTAAGCAGTTGAGTAGTAGAGAGACTGGTCACAGTACCTAAAAAGAACTCACAGATGTAAAATGAGAGTAATTGTTGAAATATCTTTATCATACTCATTTTTTGTTACATGTTTTTTTCCATGTAAGCAGATCCCCAAAAGGGTGTGTACCAAGACTATCGTGAAGAATTACAATAAGAAAGTCTTTGAAAATTACTGCTGTTTTGTGTGGTATACACTTAACAGGATGTGCTTTCATGGCTTGTGCCTTGTTCTCCGAGGTATTACACCTATTGACACCACTGAAAAGTCAGAGAGGTTCACGGGGTAATGAGGATGATACAGTTACTGCATTCAAGGTGTGGTGATGATAATGTAGTTATTTTAAGATGTTCTTTTTGTGCACACTTTTAGAAAGACAGCTGTCTCCAAAAAAAAAAAAAAAAGAGAGAGAGAGAAAGGAAAATAATTCCAAACAGATAAACTGAAAGGAGAGAAGTGTTCAGCTAAAAGGTAATGAATTTCCTCTTGTGTATTTTGAGGGATCACAAGGGCTACTTTTTCTGTATATATGCATGTAACTTTTTTTTTTTTTTTGGTATTGTCCAAGGCTGCAGCTCAGATTACAGGATACAGAGAGCACTTTTAAGAATTTGCCTGGGTTTTCACTTCTAAGAGCACTGTATGTTTTATAAGTATAATTAGGGGAGATATGAACATGTTCACAAAAAGTTTTTAAACTGATAAGAAATGATCAGGTTGTCACCAAAGAATTGCTGCTAAAATATCTATTTTATTCAGTACGTGACTCAAATCATGCTTGGTTTCAACTTTGGAATAGAGTTGAGTGAAGGTTTTTATTAGCTGTACAGAATGTGCTATGTTTATGCAACGTACTCATTATCCATTATAATGAGTGTATATGTACATATAGACATGTGCATGTGCACATAAGTATGTGTCTATGTATAGTGATATTTGTAAAATTGTTCAGACTATCAGACAAGATCAAACCCTTTCAGGATGTGATAGGGTGATTATACTCCAGGAAGTTTTGAATCTTTGTGCAAGAGCCCTTCAATTGATACCAGCAAAAACCTTGACCTCGATAAAGAGCGTGCTATGTTTGTTGCAAGTAGCATTACTTGTGATGTATTAGTCCTGTAACACAGGAAATCCATTGCTGAAAAAGCAGTGCTGAGTGTCTCATCAGTCACATATGGTAGTTCAAGGCCAAAATAAATGTAGCAGGAGTCAATGTGAGCTCCAAGTTTCAACAAAGGTGCAGCATGCCAGATAGCACATTCTTTCCAGTCCTATAGTATCACTTTCTTCTGCAGTTTGGACAGGCCTACAGCAATCATGAGCAGCTCATTAATCAACAACTGTCACAGATTATAAGATCAGTCTCCACCCCCTCTTTACTGAGTCTAGACTTAGATTTCATCTTCAAATTTTATCTGGTAGATAATTCTTCCAAGGACATTCATTCACATGGGAAGAAATATGCAGTATGTTAAAAGAATTTATTACAGAGGGCGTGAACGGTCTGTGTCAAAGCTAAGTCCTATTGCAATTCTTGAGTTCACAATAGTGCATTAACCCTCTAAGGCATATTCTGTATATATGTGTTTATAACCTCTTCAAAGTTCTGGCTAGTGACTGCTCTACTTTGATTCTGATTTCTCAAGCATATGCTAATAAAGCTTTTATAACATATTTACATTAAAGAAATGAGAATATGTTACAGTTTCCTCATTGCATAATGCAACTTTCAGAAGAACATGAAGAGCTCTTTTTTTTTTCCTTTCTTTCTTTTTTAAACAACTTATACAGCAAATAGTTCTTCCAGTACACTAGCAATTGGTAATTGATTTAACATTTTCCTTTAGGCATTAGGGGGCTTTGTGATATCATCTTTGGCTCAGGTTTTTCTAGCGTGTTGAAAAAAATCCAATGCCAGTTGTATCAGTTCTTTTTTAAAAATGTGTTTGTCTCATGCAGCCTAGAAAGACAAGTTTGAAAGTTAAATTTTAAGGATCGAGTTGTGAGAATTCTGTTTTGATTACGTATGAATGTAATAGTATGTGTGCATGCTTACGTAGAAAGAATTTGACTTTGCATTTTTATTCATGCGATAAGTCAATATTGCCAGGACTGTTATCCTCAAAAATG